AACTCTGCTATCAATCCTTCCTTAAGATGTGCAACTTGGTCACATTCAGGATTTGTGAAACATCTTGAACTATTTTTCAAGAGTCCAGCAGATTCAAAATTACTTTTTCCAAACATTTTCCCCTCAATTTCAAAACCTATGTGTATTTTTAAGAAAACACAATCCTTTTGTTTTGGATTCATAACATTTAACTCATCCACATGCTCTGTCCAAGAACAATGGCTGACATCTGCTAAGCTCTTCCGACAGAAGGCTACAGACACTGCCTCACTTAATCCCCTAAAGATCCTGTGAAGTGGGTCTCATTACTTTCTTGCTAAAACGACGAGGAAACTGAGACTTTAAGAAGTTAATTTGCCCGCACTCCCACAGCCAGTCCAGACCTGGCGCAGAACTCAGTCCGAGCCTTCACATCCCCAAACCTGTGGGTTCTCCTAACCAACATCCTATAATTTGGAATCCATTTTATCTGACAGCCCTTCCCATCCATCTGTCATGTGCCAGGAAACAAAATGTGGCCAAGAAAAAAAAAGGGGGTGTTGAACATCTAAAGGCACAAGAAAACTAAAACTCACAGTCTACAGGGTACCAACTACTCACCCACTTCTGAGCAGAATTAAGTACATCCTCACTTACCATTAAAAAAAAAAAAAAAGTCAAGGAGACAAGAGCTCATGGTGGAGAAGAGCCAATGAATTCCAAATTCCCAAGAAAACTCTGAGCCACCTTACTCCCAGTCAGGAGACCAATTGCTATCACGATACACTGATAGATGTTACTGGACAGTTCAAAAGAAAATCCCAGGGCCAGGAAATAACCAAAGGTCAAAGTAAAAAAAAAAAAAAAAAAAAGTATCTCCTTACATATTTGCAGACCATAACACTCTCCCCTTACAAACCTTTAAGAGTCTTTTTTAAGCAGAGGAGAACCAAGTCCTTCCTCTTGAAAGAAACAAAGTGAACATGGAACTTCCTCTCCATTATTAATCCATCAACTCCGGTTTCACATTGCATCACCATTAGGATAATAATTTCTGCTTTCTATCACTTAAGGTATGTTCCCAATAACCATCAGAGCCAATAAAAGACCTCCAAGACCACGGCCTACATACGTTCATTATTAGGGCCTTTCTTGTTTTTAAAGCAGAATAGTAAGTTAATAAGAAAGATCAGATTACTCTTTTCAAAGAAAATCATAGGCCAAAAATGACATAAAACACTTCAAATCGAAAAGTCAGTTATTGCAAATCATGGAAGAAAATGTTACAGGACAAGGAGAGTGTTTAAAACGCTGGAATATCTGGATTAAAAAACCATTTACTATTTACAAAACAGAACGTGCAGCTTTGAAAGCAATGAATCCGTAACAGCAACAAACAGATTATTAAGGAATTTTACTTGCAGTGCTAGCATATTAACACATTTGGTGGTTTTTAAGTAAACAATGGCACCTAATATGTGGGCGCTCACTGTATATGTGAAATATATTGGATGCCAAAAATAATCCTTCACTCACAATTGCACTTAACAAAAACTCAGAGAACTAAAAAGTCTTTTCTTCTGTCATTTACGTTTACTAAATAACATTAAAGCTTAAAATCAAACACATGAAACACACACATTGCAGTTCCTGGGTAAGAATACTAAATGCTCTTCAATGTTACAAAAATCAAACGTGGCTTGTCTCTTTTCCCAATACAAGACTCAGAACAGCTTTTTGCTTGTGTGTGTCATTTTAAATTTCAGTGTTAAGAGTCAAATGCTTATTTAGAAGGCTGTTCAGGTTTTGAACCATACATTTGGGCTGTGCGAATGTGTGTGTTTAAACAAAACTCTGTATGAATGTTATTCTAGGACTAGATACTCAGCTGAGAAAACTAAGAAAACAGATGTGTAAGGACATGCAGTGGAATGTGCGTGGTTTGGCTAGAAGGTTCACAATCGGGAACAAATCGTAGCACATAAGGGCTGGAAAAGTTAATTAAGTCAACCTAACACAGTACCAATAACAAAACTTTTTTGTTTGCTTGTTTTGTTTGATTTTAATCATGAGATTGTGGACAGAAAGGGCAAAAAATGCATGTATTACATCCATTTGGTTCTTGAGGCTAAACTCATCTTTAGCCGTTCATGGACAAATCCCTGATTTTCAGAGCTTTGTAAAGAAAGCCCAAGAACACCCCTGGACATAGCAGCAATTAGTACTAGCTACAATAGGATGGACATGATCTTAACGTGCCTTGTGTGAACAGCTTCAGTGCAGGTATCCAGGCACGGCTGAAATGTTTGGAAAGAGAAAAGAGAGAACAGGAGACAGGGCAGACAAAAGAACCGATGATCAAGGCCATGACAGCCACCTGCCAGCAATACCCAGCACACCAGCAGCCCCACGTGCAGGAAAACCCAAACCGAACCCGAACCCCCACCCCCGCCGCCGTTGAGCTTGATGACCCCAGCCAAGTGTGGAGGGAAGCGGGAGACCAGGTAGGAGTCTGCAGAACAAAAAAAGAGGCTGGGTCATTCCAGCCCCTGGAGCAGGATCCTGGGGCTACAAAGAGGCTCTGAACTAGTTAGGAAAATCCGCAAAGGACCCTGGTACAATTATTAGCATTGCTCACACAGAGCAATCACGAACCAAAAGGTTTTTGTTCTTGTCTTTAAATGTGTTTTCCGGTTTTCCTGGAATCTTCCAGAACTGCAATCCATGCATAAAACCACCGCTTCCATTTCTCTTCTACTTGATGGGGTCTTTATATTATCCTAAAATAAACATTTTATAAAGCCCTTAGGAGAAACTGCAACACTGGGAACATAGGGCTGGCCGGGTTAGCAGGACAGCTCTCCTTCAGGCACGTGCCCTGCAAACTTCATGAGCATTTGCCCCAAACAGGACAGGTTTTACGCTCAGGAGGCCACCTGTGTTTCAAGGACACAGGCCGATCGGGGCCAAAAGCTAGGGGAGTTTGGTTCAGGATCCGTGATTACTTCAGACGACAGGACCAACTTCGTGAATCATAACTGCTCCTTCTCTGGTAATGTTCTCGAGGGACTGCTTGGCTCCCACAGGGCTGGTTAGGTTGGTTCTGTTCTGAGTCCCCCCTAACCAGGTTCATGAGAGGACCTCATGGTCAGTGTGGCTCCAGACAAACTCAGCGGGCACCAAAACCCTCCCAAAGCATGTGTGAGAGAAGCAGGAATGGCAGCACCTTCGACGGGACAGACCGACCTCTGGGGCAGAGGCTGCCGAAATTCCAAAAGGACAGTGCCTTCCAGAGGGTCCACACGGGCAGCCAACTGACACTCGTTCTTACCTGTGCTCACACCCAGGGGCACACTCCTATACACTCATGCTCGCACATGCCCACACAGTTCCGCACACCCTCACACCCACTCACGCACACACAAGACGTAGATAGCCAAAAGCTGATGTTTCGCGAAGCATAATACCCAGAAAGTGCTCATTCCTACAACATCACTATTAAAAATTATCAAACAACCTACCCTGCATGTACTGATTCTATTTCTGGAGTAAGAAATTTGCCTAATTTTTACAAATTCCAGGAAAAAAAAAGAAACAATGTTTTAAAAGGCGAAATGTTTGTTTTAAAAGGCAAAAACAGGGCTTCTTTAACCACACCGGAAGAATAACACAACTATCCAGCTCCATTAAAATAAGATCCAGTCCAGACTTTAAATACCACAAATAAAGGGAGAAATAGGGACAAATTTCCACATGTATGTAAATTCATTATTTTAACTCAGACATAAATATATGTCCCTGAGGATCAATTCAAAACTGGACTCATTAGCAGATTTAACACCAGCCCCTCCCGTGGCCCAGCCAAGCCAGCAACGCACACTGGTGACATCCAGGAGGAGGAGCCTTAGACAGGGATGGGCACAGGGAACAGGGGCCAGGCTCCTCGGTGTCAGCTTGGACAAGGCCACAGTCAGGAAAGGAAGGTGCAGTTACCTTCCAAAGTAGATTCTGACTCTCCAATTGTACGTAAAAAAAAAAAAAAAAAAAAAGTCAACCTAGTAAAGTGTTCCTTGGAATAAATAAAATAAAAGCCCATAGGGAGGGAGGGAGGGAGCAGGTTGGCTCATGCAAATCAGTGTGCCCAGATGTGCAGTGCCCGAAAGGCTGGAGAACAGACCAGCTCATTCTTCTCAAGGGCACATGGAAAAGTGGAGGGTGATGGGGGGAGGCTGGGGAGGCGATGAAATCTACAAAAAGCAAAGGCACCTACTGGCCTAGGAGAGTAGAAAAGAGGGAAAAGGAAGCGGTCACCATTAACCTGTTCAGTCTGTTTTTTTCCAGAGGGGGACTCTGGAATTTGTTTGCAATGCTCCCTGTTTGAGTTGAAATGCCTCTCGACGTTGTGCTTAAAATATTTAAATATATATATATGTGTATATATATATATATATATAGTACCCAGAAACAGCAGCTAGGTGTTATCTGTGAGCACAATTCAGTCCATTTTTATAAGCCAATAGCAAAACCTGCATCTCAGATACCAGTGTTACCTTGAGGTCCAACCATTAACAACTTTTAAAATCCATTCGAACGAAATGCACAGAGTTGGTGGGGGAGGCAGGGATCCTCTCACCAAATCTTGACAAGGCAACTTTTGTGTCTTTTGTAATAACTAATAACTAATTATTCCAACTAGTGTAGACTTTCCATGTGAAATGCAAAGTATTTTGAACTCCTGCCAGACTAATCAAGATGATTTCCAAAATGCCACAACAGGAACTTCCTATAATAAATAACCTATCACATTTACATCTCAAATTAGAAAATTTGGAAGAAAACATGTAGTTTTGGTGCCAAAATAGAGCTCACTAAAACCTGCCCATCCCACACCCCCCTTTTGCTTTCTTTAGCCTCTAAAGGAACAAACCCTGGTCCAGGTGCAAATGTTCAATGGACAAGGAAGGCAGAGAACACAGAAATGGCTCTAGGCTCGGCTGCTGGTGATCCCCACGGCTGCTCACCATTGGAAGTGGTGCTGGAGGCCACGGCTTTCTCGCTGACATCTCGCGAGGAGCATTTCACTATGGAATTCTCCGCTTTCTTCTTCTCAGTGGTTGTGGAGCTGTGGGACTGGGCCTCCATGATGCCTTCTCATTACTTCAGCTCTCTGCTACCAGGAATGCCTAAAACAAAACAATAGCGCAATCAACTTTCAGGAAGAGTGGGCCAAAAAAAAAAAAAAATCTCACTTAAAAGCGCACTTCACCTGTGGCCTGAGGGGCCTAGAGCTTTATTTAAGCAGTTCAAAATCTGGAAGACCCTTGCCCACAAGTTTTCTTGCAAAAATACCTCCAAGTTGTAATAACAAGCCAGTCAAGTTCTGTCCGACACATGCAAAAGGAGAAGGCAGGGAAGTATCCATAATGTGAGACTTTTCCCAAATTCCTACTGGGCATTTGTTATAAAGCGGTCTGAAGATCTCAATTTTCAGCTGTGTTTATGGTGTGAAACCCAAGGGTCGCATTACTTTTGTAAGCCACATCTACAAATGTCTCTTCAGGAGGCCAAATTTATAGGGAGGGGCATTGCGACAACTTTCCAAAAAGGGGAAGGTTTTTAAGTATTAATTAGGTGTTTCAAAGAGCATGGCCATTTCTCAAGCCCAAGCCCAGCTCCACTTTTGGAAGCAGAGCGTGATGTGGGCAAAGAAGCTCCTGATGTCTGCTGACCTGATATATCTGAATTGCAAAACGCCCCTTCATCCTAATTCACTGAGGTAAACCACACTCTTTAGGCTTTCTTAAGACATGAAAACGTTTCAATTCATTTGTGCTACATTTTTAAAACCAACAAAGGCAACAGAACAACATGCTCTGGGTCCCACAGGAAAAGTCAAAAGATTGCTGACAGCAAAGACTGGGACTGCTTAAGAAATACGAAAACCCAGCTACAGGCAAGTGCCCTGACTCCTCTCTTCGGTTCTTGTTTTTGTTGTTGTTGTTGCTTGTTTGTTTGTTTGTTTTTTGCAGTCATGAGTTGCACCTACAAAGAGTGCAAGATGAAAAGTGTCCTCTCCAACATGTGTTCCTCAAGCTGTCTAGATTGCAACACTCATGGTGGGCATTAGCAGACGCCACCATGTTCAATCCAAACAACGATTAGTGAAATAAAATAAGCAACTGCTTAACCGACTAAAAGGGTTAAAATACCAGATGAAATCTTTTTAGTCATCCTTAACTCAAATTTGCAAGGGAATTGCAAAGTTTTTCTTTATTGTATGACAAATTCTCCCCTTGGTCTGGAATTCAAGTAACTAGAAAAGCTTAAGATCCAGAGGCTGCAGGGCACGGTAGCACCAGCTCTTCTGCTAACCCCCATTTCTTTGCCTTGATTATCCACTGTCATTCATTGTAAAACACACAAGTTACTTAAGAACAGCTTTTCTAGAATAAAAAAAGAAAAAAAGCAGCACTGAGTTAAATTTGCATATCAATTGTGAGATCCACTCCAAATTCAGAAACATCTGTCAAAGAGCGCTAACAAAGTACCACAGTAAAGGAGCTGCTGATCCTCCTTTCACTGGGCTGAGGCCAGGCGCTGGTCCAGAGGCCACAGCCTCTTTAGAGGCTGCTACCTGAATGGTGTCCCCTGGAGTTACCCCACGTTTCAGTTCTCACCTGTCACATGACAGAATCACACCTTGGGATTTGGGACTTAACCTTGGGGGAAGGTGGGTACAGTCCTCTTTAAGATGTTAGAAATTATGGATCCTCTCCCCAGAAAAATACCCTTCAACACACACCAAAGAGTGTACATTTGATTTCCAAGGGATCACAGGCCCTCCAAGCTCTTCCATGAATACAGATCGAGAACCTGTATGCTCCCCCCAAACTGATGTAAATGTCTTTAAAGCATGCCACAAGAAGAGTTCAACCCAATCCAGAGCACTGATTCTCAAGGTCGGGCAAGAGCCAGTATCAGCCTTGCTACAGTGCTTGCAAGACCTTCGAATTCCCAGTTCCAATCCCTGACGTCTCGGAGGTAGCACCTGGAAACTTTATTTTAGCCAGCACTGGTAAGCATTAGGCAGCAAAGCTTGCAGACAACTGTTCCACACATTTCTGTTCACTGCTATGTGCCCAGTGCAACAGGTACCCGTTGAAGTTTTTGCCAACTGGATGAAGAAATGAATGGGTGGCAGCCCAGACTACTGAATTTCAACAGCCTACCATGAGCCTTTCCCAACGCCCATCACAATAATGAAGTCATCTTCCAGAATCTTTACTGAATGGCTTCATGGCCAGCTTCCCCTCCAGATCCTAAGCTCCATGAAGACAAGCACCATGGCTATCTTCCTAGCACCTCAAACCCATAAGAATGTTTACCGAGTAAATAAACGATCCTGAGATGACCTGGTGACCCGGACAATCCTGCAGTGTCTTCAGTCTTAATCACCGTTGATTGCGCTACATATCTTTTCTTTTATATCCAATGTTTCTTCGAAAACTGACGAATTATACAAAAACTAATCGTTTTCAACAGGAATATTTCATCAAAACACTCCATTCGCAACCATTTTGGATAAACAGGCATTTACTATAATTGTTTCCCTCAAAACCCACATACGGTTTTATTGGTCAAATTTGGATGGAGTTTGCTAAGTTAACACGGCACATGGAATCAAGCCAAGGGACCAGAAAAAAAAAAAAAAAAAAACATGAAGGGATAGGATTCCTTCCTGGCTAAGAAGTATGTCTGTCCGTTAGCAGAGGGAGCTAATTAACAGTAGTGAGGTGACAAGTCACCAAAGTTCCTTGACAAACTTGGGGCTGTGGAGTTGTTGGTTTTTCCCCCAAGCAAAGGACTTCGTTTTAACAAAGCAATAAACCCTCCAAATACTCATCACCAGAGAGAGGTTCACGTGAGAAGAGGTAAAGCCCCAGGCACTGACTGAAATTGCACTAATTAATGGTTTTAGAGAATACCAATTCCTACCCCCTCTCCCTGTTCGAAGTGGATTTTTTTTTTAAATGGGCCCTTGGTCACTCAAGAATCTACCCCCTTCTTCTATTTTGACAACTTATTTTTGGATCTCATTAGTTAGTAACTAATTATTTAAAAGTGTAGTTTATGCTGGAACAGGGCTATAAAAATGGCAACTTGCCAAGGTAGGCATCTGCTTCCTGTATATCCCTATAAACTATATCAGCTTATTTTACTGATAAAAACACAACTTTGTCCCTGTCAGTTACAAAGGGGTAAGTTTTAACATTCTAGGCTCTCACACCTCATCAAAACTATGCATGAAGAGTTAGCAGAAGAGGGTCTGCTTCTAGCAGTAGGGGCAGGTTTTTTCTTTTTTCAGAGAACATTAAGCCCTGTTTGGAAACTCAGTCCTGACTTGATATTTGAAGGCGTGAGGTACAGAAGTGTCCAGTAAAAATTCCTCGTGGAATCTTCAAGCCTACCTAACTGAAGCAGTGGCCCACAGTACTATTTCTAAAACCTGGGATTTCTTAAATAATAAAGTATAATTTATGTAGAACATAAGTTGCAAGGAAAACTTTTTCAGTTCTGCTTCACTTCAAAGATTTTTCTCTGAGGAAAACATGCCACTGGTTTTTAGACGGGAATGAAAGGTGACTTTCCCCACCCCACCCCCACCCCCTTTCCTCCTCTCAGAACTCCACACTGTTCCTCAGCTCCTTCCACCACTTGCAACATTACATGCAAGATTTGCTGGCATGCCCCTTGACTTTTTATGCTTAGGGGTAAAAAGAAAAAAGGAAAAAAAAATTTTTTGTAGCTGATGCTGGAAGTCCCAGAAGCTTGACTAGATGGAAGAAACAAAACAAAACAAAACAAAAAACAAGGAAATCTCTGATAGTGCAGACCTGCTAGAGCTTGAAGTTGCATAGGTAAATGAAGGGATAAAAATTCCTTCCTGAAAGCAGTCCTGGCTTTTCCCCATTCAACCGTCCCTTGAACCTTTTGTAATTTCCCGGAGGCCTAAACCCAGGGCACAATTAATTCCAGACCTTATTTTAAACCTAATCCTTCGCCCACTAGCAACCTGCCTGCAGGTGGGTCCTTCCTCTCTGAATTAGAAATCTGAACTTGCATCAACCTCCTACTACAGGAGAAGGCATCTAAAGCTTGCTGGAGCCCCTGACCAGGTGACGGTGGAGTTAAATGCCCGGCCCCATTTGAAAGTCAGCTCAAGAAAGACGCCAACAGACCACACTGAGCAATTCTTGGGGGGACCTACATTTGAAACGGCACTTTAGCACAGAAAGCCTCCAGTGGCCCTGTCTTTAGAGCTGCAATGAAAAAAAAACAAACCAAACCAAACCCCAGGAACTTTCATCACGGCAAAGACGAGTCCCCGTTATTATTATAATAGTTCTCCAGGCTGTGGGCCGGGGTCATTTCGGGAGAGCTCCCGGGCTCCGCCCGCGCCCCCACGCCCGCTGCCCCGCGAGCGGCCCCGCGCACGGTTCCAGCCAGGCTCCCAGGTCTCACTCCTGTCCCGCTTCCCCGCGCCGCCCCGGCGGGCCTGCGGCTCTCGGCGGGCGGGCGCGCGGCGCTCCGGGCCCCCGGCCCCGCTCCCCGGCCGGCCGCCTCGCCCGCCCCGCTTTCCCCGGCGGCCCACAGCTCCCCGCCCCGCGCGCCCCGCGCCCCGGCATGGGCCCGGCTCCCAGAAGCCGCCGGGGATGTCGCGGGGTTTCGGGGGCCGCGGGGTCGCCGGCAGCTCCGCTCCGAACCGCATTCCTGAGGCTGGCTTCCCGGAAAGGCGAGGCTGAACGGTCGCAACCGGCAGGGCCTCTGCAGGGAAAGATGCTCCCCTTATCACTTTTTTCGCACTGGCTACCCTGCTCCTTCCTCGGGCATAGTCACGGGCATTGGGAAACTCTCTGCAGCAGGCCCGGCAGCATTTCCAGCAGACAGTTGTCCGAGGTAGCCCTGCTCTCATCCACACAGCTGTTTTACCAGCTGAATCCGGGGAGGTGCAACTTTCCAGGTACTTTGCAATGCAACACCCCGTGTGTCTCGCTGTCGTAAAACATTGGGGAACACTGGAGGTCTTCACAAACCAATGGGTGTGGGCTTCACTCACAAAACTTCTAACTCACCGTCCATTAACCTGGCCCCCAATTGTTGTTTCTCCACCAGCTGCCCTAAG